GGTTGGGAGGACTTTTCTTCCCAGAAGCTTATATCACCGCGACTCGCCAAGCCGTAGCACACCGTATGTCATGGTCACTTGAAACCCTGGATCTACGACTCGAAGTCGAACAAGAAGGTGATCCAAGTGCATTCACAGTAGAAGGTACGGTGTTTCTATGTAGTCTTGGACTAGTCTAACCTTACTCCAGGTCTTATACTTGAAGGCGCTCAATGGAAAGACGATCATCTAGCAATAAACGACGGTGAATCTATCTCTATCGGTAGATCTCAAGTGCGATGGGTCCATATAGATCAGGATGGCAACTCATCACCAAAAGGGGATCAAGTCAACTTGCCAGTTTACCTCAACGGAGATCGCAATGATGTTTTATTCACTGTGAATCTGCCATTCTCTACCAACGAGGCTGCTCTCAGTGTCGTTAGAGCTGTTTGCATGACCGCAGGGGGCTCCCCATCTACCTAAAGTGACCTCTTCCATAATTTACCATCTCCTCAGTCACTTCATCCATACATCATCATTAACCCCCGCCGTATTATTTAAAACGATCGATAGAATTAGAGAGGAGTACTATAAGCCTGTAAACGATTTAGTTATGACAATTAGAGTAACATCGACGTTAGATCTCACCCATCCTTGACTGTAGACCGTTAATGACCTACATCTGAAGCGAACTGATAAAAAAACTTACTGAAAGAAATTTAAGGCCCTCATCAATCAAGATGACAGGAGCGCTGATGAATAAAACTGCCTTCCACTCAGTCCAGTTCAATGGGGTAATAGCAAAGATGTTCTGTGAATCGTATTATTCATGGGTCGCCTGGGCGAGGAAATGAATGAGCACTTACAGAAAAGAAGGGAATATAGAGTATTCCAACATGGAGCAACATGCTCAACGTGATGGCCATCACCAAGAACGGGTTTTTCCACAGTGGCAGCGCTAGAAGACTCTCATTTTCTGAAAGCGAGTTCATTGCATTGAACATCTCGATCACAACGAGTATCGAAAGGCTCATAGTGGTTGCAGTTTTGGACATGTTATTGGTAAACATCTCGCAACCAATTTCCGGGAACCGAGTCGAGCAACTGTGGAAATGTGTCTGGATGCTATGTGAGAACGAGGTGTATCAACATGTACAGTGATTTGGGCTTACCAACTGATACCATGTGATCTGTGGGCCTTGTTCATAGAACAGGAACCACCAAGCATATCCAAAGACGGTCGCGCAACCAACGTAGGTTCCGATCACCAAATATCTGAAGAAAAGCCATTTTCCGACCAGTGGTTCTCTGCTGTTTCGTGGAGGGACTCGCATAATGGCATGGTCGGGTGGGTTGAAGCCGAGAGCAGTCGCGGGAAGACTGTCAGTGACTAAATTGACCCATAATAGTTGAACGGGTATCAAAGCTTCAGGCATGCCCAAAAGTACTGTTAAAAAGATGCTGGGTGAAACAGTTAGAATCGTTTAAAGAGATTCTACGAATTGCCAACCTGACGACCTCTCCGATATTCGAAGATACTACAAACATCTGCTCAGTAATGGTAAAATGAACGAAGACAACACGTACTGAGATAACGAATAAATTGTTTGGTATTATTATAAATAAGTCGGCCTTCTTCAACGGCTTTTTCGATGGTGGCGAAATTGGAGTCAGCTAGCACCATATCTGCCGCTAACTTGGCCACGTCTGTGCCGCTACCCATAGCCACACCAATATCTGCTTTTTTAAGGGCAGGGGCATCATTCACCCCATCACCAGTCTGAAGAGAAGTTAAAGATCTATCGATATCAGGAAAGAACAAAGCTAACCATTGCCACCACTAGCCCTTCTTGTTGTAGCAAGTCCACCAACTGAGACTTGTGAGATGGTTCAGTCCGACTGAACACTTTGGCACGCTTGACAGCTTCCTTTTTCTGGGCGAGAGTAAGAGCATCGAATTCTCTTCCCGTATAGCTTTTGCCTTTCGTATCTTCGTTCACTTCGAAAATACCGACCTGGCGGCAAATAGCCTCAGCGGTTCCTTGATTATCACCAGTAACGCAGATAACTCGAATACCGGCAGCCTTGCACTGAGCAACGGCGTCGCGAACCTCAGGTCTCGGTGGATCCAGCATGCCTACGAGTGATACAAAGACCAATTTTTGCTCAAATCTCCCATATTCTGCAGTAGATGCAGAGGTGTAGTGGGAGGGATCTAGATCAGTCTTATCGACATATGCCAATGCTAGGGTCCGTAAGCCATTGCGAGTATAGGAGGCCATAAGATCGAGGATGTTCTTTCGCATGCTTCGCTCGAGAGGTACCACACGACTATCGCTTTGCATGAAACTACATCTCTCCAAGACGGACTCCGGGGCGCCCTTAACGAAAAGGCTACCTTGCCCATTGGTTCGTCGGACTAGAACGGACATCATTTTCCGGTCCCTCGAGAACTCAAATGTGAGCAAGCGTTTGATGTCGGATTGATACCTATCACTGATGGCCGATGCTCGTCGTTGTGGAGGCAGCGTCCCCAAGGACTGTGTAAGCTGCGGGCAAGGATTACCGATCTTCTCCACAAGTACTTTGAGTGCAGCTTCGGTAGGCTCTCCTAGGTTTTGGTATGACGATTTTTCCTACCACCAATGTAAGATAAACTGAATCATTCGTGCTGACAACTTACCGCTTGATAGATAATCTTGGAGTCGTTACACAAGGTAGCGATTTCTGCGGTCTTGACGAGGGACTCGGACAACGCAGGAATGTTTCCGCTTCGATCCCGCAAGTTACCATCCGGGCTGAAGGTAGTGCCTTCGACGGTATATTGAACTAATGACCCACGAGTGTCTACGATGGCGAGCTAGAAACAAGTAAGGGGATTATACAGATGTACCAAGATCGTGGAAACTCACGTTGCTGACACTCATTTGATTGGTGGTCAAAGTCCCCGTCTTGTCCGAACATATCACATTTGTGCATCCAAGAGTCTCGACACTGGGGAGATTACGAACGATGGCATTCTTCTGAGCCATCTTCTTTGTTCCTAACGCAAGGCAAGCCGTGATTACGGCTGCCAATCCCTCGGGTATAGCTGCAACCGCTAGTGCTACAGCAATCTTGAAATAATAAATAGCTCCTCGGACCGTCCCATGGTGGCTGGGATCAGAAAAGTTTCGGAAGTTGACCAGCCAGACTAAAATGCAAATGACACTGATGACTTTGGCCAACATGTCGCCAAAGTCATCTAGTTTCTGTTTTAGAGGTGTCTTCTGACTAATTTGTTCAGAAATAGATTGATGGATCCCGCCAATAGCTGTCTTTGATCCAGTTTGAACGACAACCGCCGTAGCCTGACCGCTGACAACGGTTGTACCCTAAGCTCCGTTGAGTAAAAGTCACATTCGAAGGTATCAAGACTCACAGAGAACACCATATTGTGCATATCCTGTTTAACAGCCCTCTCATCCTTGATGGTAGCCAACGACTTGGACACGCTTTCACTTTCACCGGTCAAAATGGCTTGATCGACGCGGAAGCTGCTGGAAGAGATAGATATCAGTCGGCAATCGGCCGGAATGCGATCTCCGACTGCGATAGAAACTATGTCTCCGGGAACCAATTCCGCCGCGTCCACTTTAGTCATGAAGCCGTCTCTCAGGACTTTGGCTTCGGCAGGAGAATATTCCTTAAGAGCCTGAAGACAAACAGAATATTAGCAATCATCTTACCTTTGATGTAACAGAACAACTCACATCGATCGCTTTTTCTGCCTTTGTTTCTTGAATGACCCCGACAGTCGCATTTGCGACCAAGATGAGGAGAATAACTGCAGGTTCGACAAATGCGCCCAATAGTCCAGTCTCCGAATTATCTTCGAATAGAGCGAGAATGAAGGAAATGATCGCCGAGGCTAAAAGAATGAGGACGAGCTGATCTTTGAACTGCTCTAAGATAAGTTCCCAAAGTGGTGTTGGTTCATCTTCTGGTAATTCTGTGAAAAAAGAATGTATTTTAGCAATTTGGTGAATCCCCTGTGGTGCTGAGACCCACCATTGCGGCCATAAATAGCTTGGTGTCGTTGAACTGAATCTGAGGATAGACCTGTGGAAGCCTCTACGCTAAAGTGCTGCAGAACCTGATCGGTGCTGCGGGTCCATGCAGCATCCATATTATCCAGTGATTATTGTTATCCTTGCCGGCAGTGGAAGAGTTCAAGTTTTTGCGCTGTTGACGTGGCTAAGTGAATACAGTGCCTGGCTTACGATAGGCTAGCGAGACAGCAATCTCCAGGAAAATAATAAAATATTTCCAAAGCCTTATGACCACCAGAAAATGAAGATTTATGAATAAGTGTTTACAAGGCACATATATATACATGGTCCATGCCTATTAATCTAAACGTTGCGAACGCTCGCTTGGGTCAACCATACAATGCAATCGTTAGTTCTGAGGGCCTGGATAACGCCTGAACCCAGCAAGACCTCGCCCCCAACCACCCCTTTGGGTTTCTCTCATTACATTCCTTGAGTTTGAGGGCGAGGTGTGCAGCGAACCGCCTATTGCTCCACCTACCGAACTACCGAGTGATCCCGGAGTTGGACTTGAGACTTTCCC